CCGGGGGTGTTCCGTGGGGCCCCGTGGGAGGCAGTGTCATCTAGGTCACCACTATGCAGGAGAACTCTGTGCAATGACAGAATGTTCTAGATCTGTGTTGTCCAGAGAGGTGGCTGGCAGCTACGTGTGGCTACTGAGCATTTGCCATGTGACTAGTGCACCTGAGAATCTGAGTTTTAATTTCATTTAATTTTACTTAATTTAAGTTTAAATAGCCACATGTGGCTAGTGACTACTGGATAGCCCAGCTGATGGTTGTCTTACGAGAGGGCACAGAGGTCAGCTGTGGGTGGGGCTGTGTCCCCGGAGCCCTTCCTGGGCTTGCTGCTGAGGCCCATCTGGGCTGGAGCAGGGGTGAGCCAGCCTGGGTGTGAGCGAGCACGCAGGCCCAGGAGGACTGGGGCCGTTTGCGGTGGGTGCCTGAGAGGGAAGGAACGCCCCTGGTCTGTATGTCTTGCCTGTGTGTGGTCATAGTCGTGTGTGCACCTGAGCGTGTGACCATCGGAGGGTCTTCTCCCCGGAGGGGCTGGGTGCTGGGACCAGCAGGGCCCTGGCTGGGCATCAGGAGATAGCCTTCACTTTCTGAGAGTCCTCACTCCTCTGGGCCTCAGTTTCCCCATCTGCCTGGGAATCCTTGGCCACTATGAAGGTCAGAGTCGGGAGAGCTGCAGGGCCGCTGGCCGGCCCCTCCCCGTGCCACCTGGAAGGGGCACTGAGGCCCTGTCTGACCTCTGACCGTGTGCCTGGGCCCGCCCGCCCGCAGCCTGCCCCTGCGCTTCTGGGTGAACGTGATCAAGAACCCGCAGTTCGTGTTCGACATCCACAAGAGCAGCATCACAGACGCCTGCCTGTCGGTGGTGGCCCAGACCTTCATGGACTCCTGCTCCACGTCCGAGCACAAGCTGGGCAAGGACTCCCCCTCCAACAAGCTGCTCTACGCCAAGGACATCCCCAACTACAAGAGCTGGGTGGAGAGGTGAGGCAGGCGTGAGGGGCGGGCAGGCAAGCAGAGGCGCCGGGCCCGGCTCACGTGCCGCCCCACCGCCCGTCTGCAGGTACTATGCCGACATCGCCAGGATGCCTGCCATCAGCGACCAGGACATGAGCGCGTACCTGGCCGAGCAGTCGCGGCTGCACCTGAGCCAGTTCAACAGCATGAGCGCCTTGCACGAGATCTACTCCTACATCACCAAGTACAAGGACGAGGTGAGCATGCACGCCGGCCCTCGCCCAAAGCAACCCGCTCTACACCACCCCGCCAGCCCCTCCCCGGGCCAGGGCCGTGGGGAGCGGCCGGCATTGTCCTCTCCAGGTGGAGGTGGGTTGGTGAGCGAGTGGTCCCGAGGGCCTGTTAGGGGTCTAGTGGCCTGGGCAGCATTCTCCAGGGCAGGGCCCCATGCTGTTCCACGGTCTCTGGCGTCCGCCTGCAGCGCACAGAGCTGCGGTTCCCTGAGACGTCTGGGGAAGCAGGCCTGACTCAGGCTGAACTGGATGGCAGACAGGGTGCGAGAGTCAGGACGGGCTTGGCCAGTTCCAGTGCCCCGAGGCCGCAGTAGGCCCGGCTGTAGGCCCTGGGGGCCGTGAGGCTGAACCAAAGCCGTCCCGTCCCGGAGGAGGGGAGGCGAGGCTGGGGAGGGGCTCATCGCTGGGTGTGCAGGCCTTGGGGACTTGGGCTTCTCCCTGGGTGAGACGGCCAGCGGGGTTTAGAGACCAGAGGTGGTCTGACTGCCCGTGCCAGGGGAGGGGGAGGGGCAGGACTTGCCCATCTGATTGGCTGAAGGGTCCGACTCCAGACTTGTGGCTGAGTGATGGCGAGGCGGGCAGGCGTTGGGAGTCCGGCCTGGGCTTTTGTTGACGTGTGAGGGGAGTGGAGCTGTGAGCTCAGAGAGACTTGGGCTCCGGGGCAGAGCGTGGGGTAGCAGCCGGCAGGAGGACCTCCACTGAGCCTGGGGAGACGGCCCGAGGCAAGTCCAGAGCAGGGGAGAGGAGGGGACGGGTGAGCCCTGGGACCAAGCACAGCGCAGAGGCGGCAGGAGGCAGCAGGGGCAGGGTGTCGGTGCCGACAGCAGCAGCAGGTTATGAGTGACGGGGGTGGGGCCTGGAGCCTGCGCCCTCGGGCTCCGGGGTTCCCCTGAGGAGCTCTGCCGTGAGGGCCCGAGAAACGGGCTGTTGGAGGGGGGTGGGGCCGAGGGCGAGGGCAGTGAGGCCGCATGCCCGTGAGCTGCGAGCTGCGAGCTGATGCGCTGGCAGGAAACGGGCGTGTGGGCGAGTGGAGGGCACAGCGAGACCGCGGAGCTGGGGCAGGGGCGGGGGTGCTCCTGCTTCCTGGGGGCTGGAAGCAGCAGGCTGAGGGGTACGGAGGGGGCCATGAGGGTGACGGCGTGTCCGCGCCCCCGGTAAGCAGGCCCTGCTCTAATTGACGGACTAGAACACTGCACCAAGGGGACGTGAGGCCTGGCTGTGACCAGAATCCCGTTTGGGGTGTTTTGGGGGATGAGGGTAGGAATGGTGACCTGGGGGTCCGGTCTCAAAACCCAGGTTCCTCAGCTGAGAACAGACAGGATGGAACCTGGTATCTGCTCTGGCGCCCCTACCACATATCCGCCCTCTGTGTGAGACCCTCCAAGTTTCCATGTCCCCGTCCCACGCGAGCTGGCAGACCTGGCCAGGCCTGCTCACGCCCCCGCCCGCCTCCACAGATCCTGACGGCCCTGGAGAAGGACGAGCAGGCGCGGCGGCAGCGGCTGCGGAGCAAGTTGGAGCAGGTGGTGGACACAATGGCCCTGAGCAGCTGAGCCACCTGGCTGCCACTGCCCAGCGGGAGTTGAGTGGCAGGGCCCGCAGGGGCGGCCTCCGTCCAGCAGCCGGAGCTGGGAGATCCGTGGGGACAGCCTCGCCCCAGTTGTGCAGTCCAGCGTCCTCCCTCCCCCGTCCTGCCTGGCGGGGTCCCGGTTCTCGTTGTGTGGGTGCGGCAGTGTCTGCAGCACCCTCTGTGCCCAGAGCTGCTTGCCACAGGGCTGTAAGGGCCCAGGCGTGGCCGGGGCCTTCTCAGGAGAATAGGATGAGCGCTAAGGGTCTGGGGGGTGAGGCTGGAGTCCTTCGGGAAGCGGGAAGCCAGTCTGGTCCGCCTCCTTGAGGCCAGGCTGCGGAGGCCAGAAGGGCCAGGGTGACAGGCTGGGGGTCTGTTTCCAGTGTCCCAGGCAGAGTCTGAGGGCCGAGGTCTGGCTAGCAGCCCTGGGAGACTGAATGCCCGGGGCCTGGCCAAGGTGAGCTGGAGTCGGCCTGGCCGTTGCTGCCCACCCGCCACGCCCGGCACCCCTGCGCTTGCTGCTGCAGCACCGCCACCATCCTCCGATTCACCGCGTGCTCTCCGCGGAGGCCGGAGCGCCATGTCGACCTCGCCCAGAGAGAGGCCCCGGCTCCCTCCTGTGGAGGGGCTGCAGAAGGCTCTGCTCGAAGCTCCCAGGTGACTTCCAGAAGGACTCGGCGACTCCCTTTCTGTCCTCAGGGCTGTGCCTCTGGGGCCACTGGGGCCTGGGGCTCCAGGTCGTAAGCGCACGTCCCCCTTATTTATTCCCCCACCGCTCCTGCTCCTGGGCTGGGCTTGCCAGCGCGGAGGTCTTGGGAGCGGCCCCGTCACCTTCCTCCCTCCCTCCCGTCTCCCCTGCTCTCCACGTCCACCTTCCAGGCTCCCAGTCTGGCATCTCAGCAGTGTGCTGGCCCCGCAGGAGCAGTGGGACAGCTGGGGACTGAGTTTTTAGAGTAAATAAAGAAATCATGCTGCACTGTGCTGGGCCACACCTGCCGGCCTGGCTGGGAGCAGGACGCAGTGACCAGAGGGCCTGGAGGCGGGCTCCGTCCACCCTGCCCTCAGTGATCAAGAGAGAACAAATTTTTAATTAAAAAAACCTGTACATATATATATATGTGGCTCTAGCCTCAGTCTCCAGCCCCAGTGGGGTCCTGTATAGTTACCTGGAGGAGGAGAGATTTCACAAATGGTTTAGAATAAGAATATTAAGGCGGTGGGAAAGCAACTCCAAACAGTGGTGGAAAAAGCGGCCACAGTTCCCACGTGGAGCACACCCGAGGCCTCTGCCCCCGACCTTTGACCTTCGGGTCATCATCCTGTTTTCTTCGTTTTGATGTGAAAAGGAGAGAACGTCTCGCGGCCCAAGAGCTTCCGGGCACGGGCCTGGGTTCCTGCATGACTGTGCTAGCGTTTAGTCTGACTTGATCCTTTTAAAGCTGCAAGTGTTGAATACTAGAGGCTGTTAGACCCTTTTTTATGTTTTTTAATTAATCAGTCACTTGTGAAAGCAAATAAGTGGCCCGTTCCCTCTTCAAGTTCACGTTTTTGATGGTACTAAAGATTCCCACGGCCTTTAAGGGACAGCTAACTGTGGCCGGCCCCTCGCCCACGGGCTGCCCACCCCAGGCCCCTCCTGAGCGTGTGCTGGGCTGCACCCGGGAGGTCAGCTTATGGCTGCTCCCTCCAGGGGGGCAGTGTGAAGTCAGAGCTCCTGACTTGGGAAGTTCCTGAACCCGGGGAAGCGGGGGGGCCCCCTGGCCCCCTGGGCACTGAGCATGGCTCTGCCTGCGGCTGCCGTGGGTGCCCAGCTGGAGCTCAGACCGGCCCCGCCCCCAGTGTGGCCCTCATGGCTTGTCCCTGGGTGGCCACAGGTCAGGCCGGTCCATCTAGAGGTCGGGCAGTCTTGGGTGGTCGCTTGCTTTGCCCTGGATCCCATCGTTAGTGTACCCCTGCCTTCCCTCTGATGCCACCTGGCCCTGCCGGGGTGGGAGCGTCGGTTTGCCCTGAAGCCTTCCCTGGATGCTGGCTTCTCATTGAAGCCCCTGTTCTTCCTGTCCCACGCCGGTCAGGTTGGGCTCCTCAGCCCCTCGGCCGCCCTTTTCAGGATCCAGTTCCAACCCCCCTTCCTTAGGCCTCCCTGGGCCCCCTGTGCTTGCCCCTCGAGGCTGCACATTCCGGGCAGGGACCTTCCCCCCGCCCTTGTCACGTGGGCAGTTGGCGGGCCGGGAGGTGGTGACAGAGAAGGGAAGCCCACCCGGCCCTGCAGGGTGTGTGGCCCACCGCAGAGCGCACGCGTGCCAGGCGCAAGCACTTTAGCAGTACTGTTTACACACAAGCTGATGGAGCTGATCCCAAGCCTGCCCTACCCCGCAGCAGGTCCCACACCTTCTTCCCTGCCAGGTCGGGGACAGAGGCTCCGAGTCCTCTCGCTGTTCCCGAGCTCCTCCTAGCCCTGTAGCACTCTAGGTGCTGGCCCAGGCACCCCGGCACCTCTGGGCGTCCTCCTTCCAGGGTCTCTGACCCCAAGCTCTGGCACTGGCCCGGGGGGTGTGGGGGCCCGGCGGGAGCCTGGGACTGGAGCCCCACTCTGCGCAACAAGGGTGGGTGCGATTGTCCTGAAGGCCCCCCAGCAGTCCCAGGGCTCGGGGAGTCGGCCACTGCCCAGCCCAGGCCTGCTGCTATCGCCTGCCCTGCGCAGGCCACCTTCCCTTCCCCGCACACGTCTCAGGAGCGCCAGGCACAGCTCACGCCTCCGTCTCGGAGCCTGGCCTCCCCATATACCTCGAGCTTGCCCTGCCCTCCCTGCCCGGGGCCGGCGGCCCCCACCTGCCCCTCCCTGGCCCCGGTGCCCGAGCCGGAGCGCCCCGAACGTCTTCCCCGCCCTCCCCGGTTTCACCTCGCCGAGAGCATCCCCCTGGTTCTTCTCCCCGTCCTGGATCTGACGGCTCACATCGTTGGTGCTACACAAGCTAGAATAGATATATTTAGAGAGAGAGAGCTATTTTTACGATGAAGCCCACAATTAGCTGTCCTTGAACGCCACAGAGCCCCCCTCCCCAAAAGAAGAGTGATCGCTCGGCCGGCCTGAGCGCCCCCTGGGCCGTCGCCCCTCGCAGGAGCAGCGTGGCTGGCTGGGCGCTCGCCCACAGATTCTGTAAATATACGGCTATCTCCTATTTTACTGTTCTTCAGATTTAGTACTTGTAAATACACACACATTAAGGAGAGATTAAACATTTTTGCTAAAGCGCTCGGCTCTGAGTTTTCCTTGCTGGGAGGGGTCTGGGCTGGGGGCCGAGTGGCCAGGAGGGGGTGGTCCATAGAACTGCAGGCATAGCCCGTGCTCAGAGCTGCCTGCTGGGCTTGGGTGCTGCTGGCTGTCAGCGTGGTCCACACAGTACAGCCACAGTGTCACCCAGAGCCGCCCGCAGTGCACATTCTCAGCCATTTGGGTTTCAGCAGGCCCTGGCCATTGGATGCTCTGGGGTCGGGATCGCCGTGCTGACATGTGCTGGGAACTTACCTGTGCTCTTGGCCTCGGAGACCATCGCCTGAGGCCGAAAAACACCAGGGCCTGAGCCCACGAACTGTACTTTTTAGGGGTTCCCCAGGTGGTTCTCATGCACAGCAGGGTTGTGACCCCCTGGCTCAGAGCAGTGGTTCTCTGGGGGCATTGTGAAAATACAGATTCTGATCCAGAGGGCCTGGGGTGGTCTGGGTGCTCTGGTGACCCAGGGCAGTAGTCCTGGGACCTCACTTTGAACAGCAAGGAGCTGGAGCTGTGTTTCCCAGACTTTCTCAGCCAGGACCTCTCCCTTGATTGGGAGCCTTGCAGCTGAGGAACCCAGTCTGGGAAATGTTGACCTTTCCAGCACAGACACTGTTCCATCTCATGAAAATTTTGACAACAATTTTTCTGATGGAAAAGGTGTTGGTGTAGCCCCACACCAGCGTGTGGCTCTGGGAAGGGCCTAGTCTCTGGGCCCGTTTCCTCCCTGGCCCACCAGGGGTGGCCATTCCTGCCCCGGTGGGCGGGGCGTGGGGATCAGATGTGATAATTTTGGATGAGGCAGGCCTGCGTCTGGATGAGACAGGTGTCACGCATCCCCAAAGGTTGCGCCTGCTCGGTAGCTGACCCCCAGGCCGACCCCAGGCAGTGACTGACAGGCTGGTTGACCACACGTGGTTCAGCCACTGTCCAACCCTGACTGGTGAATGGACGGGCCTGGGCCTCTATGAGGTCAAGTTATTATCCTCAACCTACAGACAGGAGCTGAGAGGCGCACAGGTGTTGCCCGAGGCTGTGCAGGGGTAGGTGGCAGAGCTGGACTGAAGCCCCAGCGTATCAGGAGGAAGGTTTCCAGAGGACTGCGAAGTGCTCGCCTGCCTTCCCACACTCGCTCCGTCCCGAGGGCTCTGACAGTGTCCATGGGTCGTAGTCAACACCACCTGCTCCAACACGGCATGTCCTGACAGCCTGGGCTGCAGGCGCCCAGCTCAGCACCAGGCTCAGTGACTAAAAAGAAATCAGTGTGATCACCGTGAAAGTGCATCGGAAACAAATTTAGCAAATGTGGTCCTGTTTGGAGTGTGACGTGGCCTGTTGCATGGCTCAGTCCCCACCAGCTTTCTGGCACAGTCAGCCCTGCCTCAGTTACCCTCGTTAGGCCGCCGAGGGCTCCACCCCCACCAGCCTGAAAGTGGGCAATGTCTCTGAGCTGCAATCAGCCTCGCTGCGGTGATCAAGGGTAATTATACCGCGAGCAAGCGGGCGCCTGCTGATTGCCGTGCACAGGGGCTTGTCGAGCGTATTAAATCCATCGGCTGTTCACACCAGGGCTTGCCGGAGGCTCCAAGCAGGGCATGGGGATGGGTGTCTGTGGGTGGCAGGGTGAGGCCGGCCGGCGTTCCAGCGTGCGACAGCCCGGACGTGTGCCGAGCGCTGTGAGGAGCCCTGATGCCGGGGCAGTGGACGGAGCGGCCTCCCTGAGCAGGGAGAAAGGAGCTGGCCGGGCCACACAAACACCCAGGTAACTGCAGGTGGGGCAGGTGCTGTGAGGAAAGCACGGCGGCACGTGACGGCAGACGGGGCCAGGGCCGTCGTCCGGGGAGGGGCAGTGGAGTGGAGACCTGAGGGGCAGGGGTTTGCCGCTGTGGAGTGTCAGGGGAGGTGTTGCCTGAGGCAGAATGACAGGGTGAGTTCGAGGCATGGGGCAAGGCGGCGGGGTGGACGGCAGGGGAGGAGAGCAGCAGGGGCCGAGGCCAAGGACCATTTGTGGCATGAGGGCCTCAGGCATGGAGAGGAGCTGGGCGTTGTTCGGAGCTTGGGAAGCAAGAGGGTGGACTCCGATTTGCATTTGGGGGCCGTGGGATTAGAGGACCAGAGGCCAGAGGAGGCCAGAGACCACTAGGGAGGCTCCTGCAGCCATCCCTGAAAGGCCTTGCTCTCGGGGGCCTTCCTGGAGACCCAGCCCCCATCAGACGGCATTGCTGGGTGGGACAGGTGGCCTTTCTGAGCACTGGCCTGGTGGAGCCCCAGGACTCCTTCCTATCCCCTGGTGGGAGTGGCCGGGTCACAACAGGGCTCGGCATCAAGTGCTCCTGCAGGGAGGACTCTGGGATGCAGGGCCCCCGCCAGCCTGCCTGGGCCCAGGGATGAGCAGAGAACACAGCCTGGTTGTGCAGGACACGGACGTCTGAGGAAGTGTGGTTTCTGCGTCACAACCAGACTACACTGACTGACGGCAGCTAGGAGCACGGTCAGCCCCTGCGCACGGAGACGGACCTGGCACAAAGAGAGGTGAGGTCGGTCACTCGCCTACGGACGCAGAGCTGTCAGTGGTGGAGCTGGGATTCAAACGCAGACTGTCTACCAACACACTTGGGGTCTGTTTGAGAAATTGACTTTCCAGCCATCACTGCTATGTCCAGCTGAAGAGCACCTGAGTGATACCTGAGCATATGTTCCTTGCTGGGTGCCCCTCCACTATAAATGACAGAAACGTAACCTAAACTGGCTTGAGCAATGAAAAGAGAACTGGTTGGCTCATGGAATAGAAAAGCCCAAGAGTGTGGCTGGCTTCAGGCATGGCTGGATCCAGGGGCTCCATGAGGTCATGAGGAATCCGTCTTTCTCCTTCATTCATGTGAGCTTCATTCTGAGGTGGGCTCTTCCCAAGTCAGGGGCACCGATGGCTGCCAGCAGCTCTAGGCTTACCAGCTTGTCAACAACCAGCAAAAGAGAGTGCCTTTGGTCAGCACATGTCCAGGTAGGGATTTCATTGACCAACTTTGGGGCACATGTCTCTATTTGAACCAATCATCCTGGCCCAAAGGATGAGGTGCTCTGATTGGCCGGACTGGGTCACATGCCCAGTGAGAGGCAGAGTCAGTCCGTTTGCACCTCAGGGTTTTGCAGATTGTGCAGAAGTGTGCATGCGTGGCTGAGGGAGTCCACGCAGTTTGTAAGCTCTGCCTGTGTCTGCGCACAGGATCCCGAGGGGATGGAGGGATTGTCAGAGGTGCCTGCGGTGTCTCTGTGATTACCCATCTCTTCCTGGGGGCCCATAATTAATTGCTGACTGCCCACTTTAAACGTACTGACGATGCCTGAGTCCAGTCTACCACCCAGCTTTCTCTGCCTGTGTGACCTGGGCTGAGCGGGAGATCGGCCCAAGGCCGATCATGGTACCAGGGAGCCCCGCCAGGTGACGAGTGGGGTCAGGCCGGGAGTGACAGGAGGCAGTTCCACTTCTCTGGCTGTGAGGGGTGATTGACACTGAGCACAGATCGGATGATGGTGCATTCTGATCCCCAACCTGGAAGTATTTTTCATAAGAGGACTGGAGTGGGGCCCTCCGGGGCTGGGGCTGCGTATGGGGTCACCTGGCTTCCTGGGCTACTCCCGCCTGAGTGATATTGCCTCTCCTCCTCCACCTCCTCAACTCCACCCACCAACCCTCCATCAGCTCGCCCACCCACCCAACTGCTGTCCCCCCATCCTCCCCGCCCGCCAACTCACCCCGTGGACACCACCCATCACCATCCACCCACTTCCACCAGCAATTCACTCCTCCTCATTTCCCTCCAGCCTCCCAATCATCCACCCCAGATCCGTCCAGGTTAGGTGGAGGCAGGGTCATAAAGAGTTTGAGCTTACAAGTGCCGCAAGGATGTGAAGACATTGAACCCTTGTCCACTGTTGGTTGGGAAGTGAAATGGTGCAGCTGCTGTGGAAAACAGTAAGGAGGTTCCTTAAAAAGTTAAGCATAGAATTACCACATGACCCAGCAATTTCACTTCTGGGTATAAATCCAAAAGAGTGGAAAGCAGAGTCTCGAAGAGATATTTGCACACCACGTTCACAGCAGCGCTGTTCATAATAGGCGGCAGGTGGAAGAACCCGAGTCCATCAGTGGGTGAGCCAATAAACAAAGTGTGGTCTATACGCACAAGGGAGTGTTATTCAGCCTTAAAAAGAAGGAAGTCCTGACACACGCTACAACGTGGATGAACCCTGAGGATATCATGCTCAGTGAAATGAGGTAGACACAAAAGGACAAGTACTGTATGGTTCCACTTATGTCAGATCCCCACAGTAGTCAGATTCAAAAAGACAGCAAGTAGAAGGAGGGGTTGCGAGGGGTTGGGGGAGGGGGCTGGGGAGTCAGTGTTTCATGGGGACGGAGTTTCAGTTTGGGAAGATGAGGAAGTCCTGGAGACGGAGGGTGGTGAGGGTTGCACACAATGTGAATGTACTCAATGCCACCGAACTGGACACTTAAAACTGGTTAAGATGGTCAATTTTATGTTGTGTGTATGTTATTACATCTAAAAATTAAAAAAAATTTTTTTAATGAGTCTCAGCTTTATTTACTGTGTGGATGGGAGGACCATGGAACGTTCTGGGGCAGGGGAGCGTCATCCTTTTCTTTGGGCCTGCTGGTCTCATCCACACCCTGACTGCGACGATGGTGGTCCCGCACTCCTGGCCGCGGCCCTGGCCTCCGTGCTTGTCTGACTGGGCTCTGGACGCCGCCCTCCAGGGCTGCCCACGGCGCCCGAGGCAGAACCTCCCGCCTCGCTGAGGCCCCGTCGCCGGTCCCACTTCCCACAGACTGAACCCCACAGCTCCCGCGGGAGGCTGGGCTCCCCTTGAGCTCCTGCTGTGCGGGCTGTCCGCCTTCCGTTATTTGGAGCACCGCTGTCCGGGCGACTCTGTCCCCCGAGCCGGGGCTCCAGCTCCGAGGCCTCCAGCCGGGCCGGGCCCGGGCACAAGGTGGGACTCAGGAGGCTCTCCTCGAAGAGCCCAGACGGCGTCCTGTGGGCTGTGCGCCGCCCCCGCCCCCCCCGGGGTGGCCCCACCCTCGGGCGCCCTGTCCCCCAGCCCTGCCCGGCGGCCGCTGCGCCTCCCCACTCCCGGGGAGCTTCCTCAAGCCCAGCTTTCCAAAAACCCCTCTCTTCTTTGTGTGAGGCTGTTTCTATTTTTTTTAATGGCTAAAGACATTTTTTCATTGTATAACCACCGTGTCGTGATCACGCTAACAAAATTAATATTTGCACGTTCACCTTTCCTCGATTGTCTCAGACCTGCCTTTCCCAGCGGCTGGCCTGTGTGGGGCCCGAGCAGCCGCCGCCATGCTTGCGGCGTCTCCCACGTCCCGCTCCACGAGCCGTGTGTGTCACGGCGTTCCCTGTGGGGGAAGCAGGTCCTCTGTGGGCAGACTTGGAGGTGGTGTGATGTGGACGCCGTGTGACCCGCTCCTTTGCCCCATGCGGCCATGCCCCTGGACTTGGTCTAGAACCTGCCCGGACTCCGGGTCAGTTTTCCAGTGCACAGGACCCTGTGCTCCCCCAAGCACCTGCCGGAGCGCACGGTGGGCGCCTGCGGTCGAGCAGAGCCCGCCTGTCCCTTGTCATGGCCCCAGGGGGCTCCCCGCTCTCGCGCTGTGTGCCTGGGTCCTTCCATCTACCTCGAAGTTCTCTCTAAGTACACCCTTCCCTTTGTAACTTGAAGAAATTATTTAAAAGCGAACCTTTATGATGCGATCCTAAGTGGATGACCTGTGTGGCTTGCCATAAATAGAAAGGGACTATAAACATAATACACTGAAAGTAAAAATAACACTCAATTCCGGCAACAAGTGGCTGTACGCCCGAAGCCTCCTGTCTGACACGGTCACCGAGTGCTGGCGCGGGCAGAGGGGCATGGATACGGCTCCCGGCCCTCTTCCACCTGCCCTGCTTGCGCTGCTCCCAGCTGAGCTGCAAGGATGCTTCCCGGTCCCTCGCGGGCTGCCCCGGCAGGAGGCTGGTGTGGGAGGAGGCGAAGGCCCTGCTCTCCCCAGGGCAGGGGTCTTCTGGTCCTGACACCACCTGGCAGCCCAGCCCTGAGCCCGTGGCTGCCTCTGCCCGCTGCCCTCCAGCCGGGTGAGCAGGCTCCCTGCCCCTCTGCTCGCCCCTTGTCTGAAGTTCCCTCTGTGGCACTGCTCATTGTCCCGACTGGACACTGCCCAGAGGAGGCCTAACCTCATCTAGTGTCAGGTCTGTCCTGCATGAATCTCTCCTGTGCCACCCAGGGGGTCTGCCCACGTATTTCCAGTGCCTGGCATTAGTGGCCCTGCAGGCCCAGCCCTGCCCCGTGTGTGTCCCTGCTCCTGCCTCAGCCCTGCTCAGGGGCCCCGAGTGCTTTCCTCCCTCATCCGCTGGCTTCCAGGCCACCTCGCTGGGGAAGCCCCGCCAGGGCTCTTCCCGGGACACTAGCTAGGCCCGCGGCGTGGCTTCCGTGTCTGGCTGGGCAGCATCTCCCTGTGGGCCTGGTCTCTCTGGCGACATCACACGTGCAGGTGTGTGACATTCCTGTCATTCTCTGCCTATCTGTGGGGCCTGAAAGGACAGAGGGGAGGGTACAGAAACAGTTTTTAGTCCAAGAGAGAAAGCCAGAAAGGCCTCTTTTCTCTTGCTGGAATGAACTACTTAAAAATAGTTTTCAAGACACAAATTCCTCCTTAAGTGAGCAATCGGCAAGAGGGGACGGCATTCCTGGCTTGGAGTCCTGGGTCTCGTTCTTTGTGTCATGTGATGGAGGGTGAGGGTCTGTCTCTTTCTCAGCCTTGGTTTCCTCATCTGTGAAAGAGGACAGCCCAGCAGGCCTCTGCTGGGTGAGATGCTCCAATTTTATGGCAACGTTTGTGTAAAAGTGTCCCGGGGTCTGTGGTTGAGCTAGGCAGGCGTGTTCTCACACCCTGTGCTCTGTGTGCTGGAGGCAGGAGCCACCCGGAACAAAGGAATTCTCCGTCAGTCCCTCAGTTGCGACATCCGCCCACCCTCCGCGTGAGGCCACTGGCAGGCAGTGGGCAGGAGGAGAGGGGGACTTCTACAGCCCTTAAGCTGACTCATGTGCCACAAGCAAAGTTCTGACGCAGCAAGGACTCAGTGCCCCCTGTCACAATGGGCAGGGCCGGGGACTGGGACGTCAGGGGTCAGGGAGAGGAGGCTGCTGGGGAGGCGGAGGAGAGCAGCATCCAGAGTGGCAACAGAGGAGCAGTGCATGTCCAAAAGCTGGGGCCTCAGTGAGGACTGAGGCTGAGGAGCAAAGGTGAGTGGGATCAGGGCACTGCTCACACAACTCCAGGGAGAACCATGTACACTGAAGCTATGTGAATGGCACCCCCATGGAGTTGTGCAGTGCACAACCTGTCCAGCTGTACAAGGTGGTCCTGAGTGGTGAGGCACTTCTACTGGAGACCAACAGAGGAACAGAGCTACCCTTCCCCAGTGTCAGGAAGGCCCATAAGCTTTGCTTTAGACCCCAGTGCCATCTTGGGAAGAAGAAAGAAAAGGGAGGAGGAGCCCTGTTAGAAAGTCGTGACCTAGACTTAATGCTTTTCCAAAAGAGACTGTATTAAAACAAAAGTGATTGTTTAAACAGCACTAGATTGAGATATTTTTACAGTTTAAGGTTTTATTCATACTTCCCAGTAGGACAAGCTTGGGAGCAAGATTAGATAAACCACAGACAATGAAGAAGCTACATTCACAAAGATACCAGAGCAGAGGCGCATGTGTTTTCAACCCTAGAGACCACTCCTGGCTCCGAGGCAGAGAGGGGGTGTGTAGGCTTTGCCGCCTCCATCCTCGGTGGGGGTGGGAGGGCAACTGCCCCCCACCCCTTAGTGCAGATGCTTCTGGTGGGGCTGGCCACACCCCCTGATTGACACATGACCCCCGATTGGCCAGTCAGAGCCTTCCTTCTTCCTGTCAGGTTTAGCATGTCATCCAATCAGCGACATTTTTTTCTCCCGAAACTGTTGAAAAGAGAGAATGCTCCTTTGTGTGGGGTGAATTTGTAACCCAACAGCAACTGGGGCCACTTCATGAGCCTGACCAAGAGTGGAGCCAGCTCGAAGGGACGTAGAGCCAAGAGAAGGAGGGAGAGATGGGAGAGGAGAGACAGAGGGAGAGACAGACAGAGGGAGAGGCGGAGAGCAGAGGGGGAGGCGGGGAGAGGGCAAAGGGGAGAGGGGGAGAGAGGTTAACCTCCTGGATCCAGCTGTGCCTAGAGACAGGCTCTGCTCTGGCCATCGGTTACATTAGCCAACAAGTCCTTTGTTCTTCTGGCTTTGCTCAAATCAGTCTGTCACGTGCAACTCACAGAGTGCAGACCTGCACTGTTGAGTGTGGTGGCTGCCAGTCACACGTGGCTGCTGAGAACCGTAAAGGTGGCTGGTCTGAATTGAGCCATGCCGTGAGTGTAAAGCATACACTTGATGTAAAATAGCTTATTAAAATGGTTTCTACTGATTACATGTTGAAATGATAATATATTGGATAGACAGGGTTAAATAAAATATGTTATTAAATTTAATTTGTTCCTTTTAACTTTTTAAAATACAGCCACTAGAAAATTTAAAATTACATTTCTGGCTCATGTTATATTTTAGTTTGACAGAGCGGGACTGGACCAATTTTCTGGGGATAAACAAATACGCTTTTTCAGCGTGTCTGCGTGCGTGTGTGTAGGTGTCTGCCTTAACACCACCAGCCTCTAAGGAGAATGATTTCTGCGAACCAGAGGTGTTCTGGGTTTTCCGAGTGTGTGATGGATCTCAGCGTGCAAGTTTGGGGAGAGAACTGGGGAAGAGAGGAAATACTCTGCCTTTTGTTTTTTAAACAGCTTTATTGAGCTGTAATTTGCATACCAGACAATTTGCCCATTTAGAGTGTACAATTCTGTGCTTTATCGTATATTCGCACAGTTTACAATCATCACTGCCATCAATTTTTGAGTATTTTCATCACCCCAAAAGAAACCCCATACCCCTTAGCTTCTACCTCCCCGTTCCTCCACTCCCCGCTGCCCTGGCACCACTAATTTACTACTCTCTGACTCCATAGATTTGCCTATTCTGGACATTTCGTATAAATGGAATCACACAGTCTGTGGCCTTTTGTGCCTGGCTACTTTCCCTTAGCGTAATGTTCTCAAGGTTCACCCACATTGTAGCATGCATCAGTATGTCACGCCTTTTCATGGCTGAATAATATTCCATCGTATGGGTGGACCACATACTATTTATCCGTTCATCAGTTGCAGGACGTTTGAGTTGTTTCCATTCTCTGGCTGTTATGAAGAATGTTGCCGTGAATATTTGGGTACAAGCTTCTGGGTGGACGTATGTTGCCATTTCTTGAGTAGATACCTAGACACCTAGGAGTGGAATTGCTGGGTCACGTGGTCCCTCTATGTTTGACAGTTGGAGGAACAGCCAGACTCTTGTCCACAGCAGCTGCATCACCTCACATTCCCACCAGATGTGTAGGAGGGTTCCATGTTCTCCACATCCTCCCCAGCACTTGTTGTTGTCTTCTTTTTGATTATAGTCATCCTAGTAGGTGTGAAGCAGTATCTCATTGCAGTTTTGATTTGCGTTTCCCTGATGGCTAGCAGTGTTGAACATCTTTTCATGTGCTCGTTGGCTATATATCTTCTTTGGAGAAACATCTATTCAGATCCTTGCCCATTTTTAAATTGGGTTATTTGTCTTTTTCTTATTACATTCTAAGAGTTCTCTATGTATTCTAGATACAAGTCCATTATCAGATACATGATTTGCCAAAACTTTCCTCTCACCCTGTGGGTTGTCTTTTCCCTTCCTTGATGTTGTCGTTTCAAGATCTGACGCTAGGTTCAGGGGTTGGGGGTCCAGGAAACAGAGACTGGGGCTGGCAGGCAGCGCGGTGCCTGGGAAAGCAGAGGAGAATGAACCCTGAAACAGCAGAAGCTTGGAGTACAAGCTCCTTTGAAGCCTGTCACTTGGTGATAAACTCACCATGTTTCTTTTTTAACTTTTTAAATTGTGGTAAAATACACATAAAATTTACCATCTTAACCATTTTTCAGTGTCTAGTTCTGTGCATTAAGTGCATTCACATTGTTGTGCAACCATCACCACCATCCGTCTCCAGAACTTTTTCATCTTCCCAAACTGGAACTCGGTCCCCATTAGACACCAGCTCCCCGTTCCCCTCCCCCAGCCTCTGTGACCCCCCTTCTATCATCTGTCTCTACGCTTCTGACTACTGTAAGTATCTCAAGTAAGTGGAAGCATACAGTATTTGTCCGTTAGTGACTGGCTTATTTCACTTAGCATAGTGTCCTCAAGCTTCGTCTATGTTGTAGTAGGTGCCAGAATTCCCTTCCTTTTTAAGGCTGAATAGTATTCTATTGTGTGTATAGACCATATTTTGCTTATCCATTCATCCCTCCATGGACACTGGGTTGCTTCCTCCTCTTGATTGTGAATAATGCTGCTGTGAACATAAGTGTGCAAATATCCCTTCGAGACTCTGTTTTCAACTCCAGAAGTGGAATTCCTGAATCATACAGTATTTCTATTTTCAATTTTTTGAGGAACTGCCATACTATTTTCTCCAGTGGCTGCACCATTTTGTATTCCCACCAGCAGTGCACACTTTCTCCACATCCTTGCCAACACTTGCTATTTTTTTTTTCTTCTGATAGTAGCCATCCTAATGAGGCGGTATCTCACTGTGGTTTTGATTTGCATTTCCCTAATGATTAGTGATGTTGAGCATCTTTTCACGTGCTTATTGGCCGTTTGTATATCTTCTTTGGAGAAATGTCTATTCAAGTCCTTTGCCCATTTTTGAATTCGGTTGTTTGTTTTTTGTTGTTGAGTTTTAGGAGTTCTCTATATATTCTGGATATTAATCCCTTATTAGATATGTGATTTGCAAATATTTTCTCCCACTTGTGAGTTGCCTATTTCCTCTGTTGATAGGGTCCTTTGATGTACAAAAGTTTTTAATTTTCATGAGGCCCAATGTCTATTTTTTCTTTTGTAGCCTGTGCAACAAAGTCTGTTTTTTCTTCCAAAATTATCTTTATTTCATTTCACCCTCTTTCTTGAAAGACAGTTTTATCAGGTACACGATTCTGTTGTTTTTTCTCAGCACTGGGAAGATAGTACCACAGTGCCTTATGGCCTCTGTTGTCACTCTTAGCAAGTCGGCCATCAGTCTAATTGCCTTTCCTTGAAGGTGGTTTTCTTTTTTACTGGCTAGTTTTAGGATCTGCTTTTCATCTTTGGTGTTATGCAGTTTCCATCCAATGTCTTCCTGATCCTTGCATCGCAGCTGCAGCAGAATGTTCTGGATACGACACTTCCCGTGGGGGCCACCCAGAGGCCTGTCCAGTGATGGTGCACAGACTTCCTTCCCACTGTGCAACACCTTTCTCCTGACATCGCTGGAGTGGTTTCCATTTTGTGCAGCCAGTCCTCACCTCTGAGCACGCTGTTGTCAGCTGCATTTTCGCCGCTTGTCTGGGTCCCACAAGCTCTGACCCCAAAGCCTCTGATGAAGGTCTTGGGGGTGGGGCTCATGCTTTCCATGGGGGGGGGGCCTGCATCCCACCCAGGTGTTTCTAGGTCTCTCCGCCTCCTAACCTCCCACCCACTCATGGAGCATTGTGAGGGCTCCCTGTTGTTCCCCCATGGGGCCTGGCCATCCCCAGGATCATGGTTATTTCTGTGGGTGAGCTGAACCAGGGCGTAGAATGTTGTCGAGAAGTATTCCTGTCGCAGCCCCAGCCCCAGCCTCTCAGAGTTCCTTACAAACCATCAGGGCTCCTTGCTGGCCTTTCTTAAAATCTGGGGTCTTTTCCAGCAGTCCCCTGGCTCCTGTTAACCCGTAGAGGTCGCCATCTCTTTCTGCAGCCCCAGACCTCATAG